CTTTCAGCTACACCGTTCTCTGCTGCTGTGTAAGGATTTGTACGTCTGTGTCTTATCCCCAACTGCCCCAACCATTGTTGGAATTTAGTTGACATAAATTCAGTACCTCTGTCAGTTTGCAACTGACACACTTGTTGTCTGTACCTTCTCTCTACAAAACTTACCCACTGTTTGAATTGTTGTAGCACCTCTGTCTTTGCTCTAAGCAAGTAGCAAAACGAATACCTGCTATAATCATCAACAATTATCAGTGCATATTTTGCTCCTCCCAAGCTGGCTTGCATAGGTCCCACCAGATCTGCATGGACGAGCTCTAGAATTCTTTTTATTTGTCTTGTGCTATATTTACTAACTGGGAATGCCTTTGACTTTGATGCTTTGCATACTGCACAGTCCAAATATGTTTGCATCCCTTCAAATTTAGCCCTTCTGCAAAATCTTGCATTTGCTGCAAAACTTTAAAGCTTGCATGGCCAAGTCTTCTATGCAGAAGATGAACACATGAATCATGCTCTGCAACATTCTTAAATATATGGAACATTGAACCTTTTGTCCCTGCAATACATATAGATTATCTTCCTTTATGCCTTCTGCACAAATATTCCCATTCCTTTTGATGAGACACTTCCCATTTACAAAAATGACCTCAAAACCTTGTTTGTCTAAATTAGACACACTTAACAAATTATGTTCCATCTCAGGTACACAAAGCACATTGGTAAACTTTGATTCCAAATATGGAATTTTTACATCGCCTTTCCAATGATTTTTGCTTTCTGGCCATTTGCCAAAGCCACAGCTTCTTGTGCTACTGGAACAAACCTGCAAAATAATTTAGAGTCATTAACAATTGTTTGACTTGCCCCACTATCTATTAGCCACTTGTCTCTGTTGTTGCTATTGCAAACTTTTGCAACACCAAAATGTTCCTTTTGCAAAGCAGTCCTTTTTCTTTGCACAAATGTCTTTTTCTGCAAACAGTTCCTTTGCAAACAGTTTCTTTGCAAATGTGTCTTCACTCCACAAATGTAGCAACTCTTTCCTTGCAAAGCTCTCTGCTTACAAAATCTCTCTTTTGTTGCAATTTGGTCCAGGTCCGATCTACTTGTTTCTTTTCCTTTGGAGACTTGCAGTCTGGACCCCCTCTTCAGGAATTTCTCCTCCTCCTGGCTGCTTCTAAAATGGCGTTTTTCTTCTTCATTAAGCAAACATGCCTTTAAAGCCTCAAAATTTAAGTCTTGCTCTTCTTTGCATTCAAATATTGCAGAAACTGTGTCCCAGGTTTTATCTAAACTGTTCAACACCAATAAAACCTTCTGGGACTCAGGGAATTTAATCCCACGTTGTTCTAAGTCCAAAAATAAACTTTGCATTTTATTTAAATGCTGTTCCACAGATTCACCTGGTTGCAAACAGGCCCTGTAAAGTTTTCTTGATAATTGCACTATGTTGCAAGCAGAAACATTCACGTGCACAGCTCTCAATTTCAACCAAATCTCCTTTGCAGTCTTTAAATTTGCAACATTTAGAAATTGTTCATCATCTAAATTCAAGATGAGAAAAGCCATTGCTCTATCATGACTTTTCTGATCAATTGCTGCAAACACTTGTGGTGGATTTTCTACAATATATCACAGCTCTTTAGCTTTCAGCAAAAATTCCATTTTTGCAGCCCATATAATATAATTCTTCTGGCCCAAACGAGGCACACAGCTTTCCTTAAATTCCATTGCAGCCATTCTGCTAATTCTGCCTTGTTCTCATACTTTCTAAACAAAGGCAATTTCTTCTAGCTTTAAATTACAATGCAGTCCTTAGTAAGCTCTGGGCCCATAACCTGTTAGAGAATTTTAATTTCTCTAATTGGTGAAAAATAAATCAGAAGCTCTCACAGTTGACTGTATTTAGCTGATTCAAATAACTTTATATTTATATAAAAATATTTACAATACCATTCTTCTTTACAGCAACATAACTTAACGAAGACTTCTTACAGAGACAGACCAGAGACAGACATGAGACTGGAAATCCAGCTCCTAACTCAATACTCTTTTTGCACAGACTCAGTAGCACTTTCTTCACATTGGCTGACTGAGTTACCACATGACTCTTCCTGTTCATGAATATTCCAACATTTTTCATGTCTAATACAAGACTAGAACTCACAAATTCTGGTTTCTAGGCCCGTACCTTAATCATTACACTAAGTGTTTCCATTACCTAGTTAAGAATGTAGGGAAGTCAGAATTTCTATTTTGAAATTTTCCTTCAGAAATTCCCTTCCCAATTGATGCCTGAAAGATTAACACTCAAGCAGTTTTCAAGAACTGAATGCAGTATTTATTCAACCTGTGTTTCTGTGCATGGAAATCTATACAATAGCTGGATGATTTGGTCAATAGCCCAAGGCTGCCTTCTGATGATGGGTTTTTAAGGTATCGGAGAAAGAGATCCTTCTCATTATATTATACTTAATCCTAGTTTAATTGGAAACACAGGCAATTACCTGTGTTTTGCTTGGTTGTAAGTTGCGAGAATTTCTACTTACAATGCTAATGATTTCAGGATTAGATTTTTTTAACTCTTTCTTTCACGAAGGATATATGAGTTAAATGCCACATAATTTATCAGCCAGGAGCTAGAAAATTTTCTGGTGGTCTTTCTTCCAAGTACTAATCAGGTCTGATCCTGCAAAACATTTTGAAACTGGCCACATTCTGATAAGTGCTGCCACATAATCGGCTAAAATAATAATCACACATAAGCAAAACCAGAATTCTAATAGGATCATCTCCTGTCTTTGCAGGGCAACAACTTGCCCAGATATTATGAGAGAAAATGAGAGTTTCAATTTGAACTTTAATTCAATAAAAAATTCTAGGACCTAAATGACTAATAGAAAATTTAATTTATGTTGAATCATTTTTAATATGACAATTAAAGTATTCTAATTGTGGTTTATGAACGAAAAATCCTTTAACTCTTATAAATACATTTGTCTATTTAGTTTAGCAACACTTTGGCACAAATCTCTATTTCATCAATCTAATTCTGTGCTGACATGCGATTTGTAAGTTTAGTATGGCAGATAAAGCCTCTTAACTAAAAAAATTTTTAACACTATTTTATTTATATAACTGTGTACCATATCAATAATATTAAAAGCCACAATTAAGGTTTGGATGGCACGGGTATCTATGGTACAATAAAGTTAAAGTAAATGTTGATTTTAATAATCATTTTATTAATGTGCCATATTATAAAACAAAGTACTTTATGAAATTGCCTCTATGGGTGTCCCCCAAGAAGCTTTTTTTTAGAAAATAAACAGTGGTGAAGCTGAACTAGTGGATCTATGGTAAAATAGTATCTTTCAATTCTTCCTCAAGTCTAAGGAAGAGCTAGAATTAGAAGGTCATATTTGCCATTGGTTTACATATGTACAAATAAAGGAAAGATTTAAACTAGATAAAAAACACCATGGGTTTGAGTTTCCAAAAAATGAATTAGAAATTTTAGTATGCAGTAGTGATGATCATATTGTTACTAAGGTCTATGAAACATTATTATAATTGAATTTGGAAAATGAACACTGTATGAACCAGTGGGCAAGGAGTGTTGGGTACAATGTGATGCTTGAGGAATGGGAGAATATGTGGATAAAAGGCTTAAAATTTAATTAAACTATAACTTAAAAGAAAATTTTTACAAGATGATGTATCACTGGTATTTAACACCAGATAAGTTATCTAGAATGTAAAGGTATTTCAAATGAATGTTGGAAATGTAAATGTAAAGAAGGGACTTTTTATCATTTATGGTGAACGTGTGATAAAGCAAAGAAATATTGGAGCAGGGTTCATACATTAGTGCAGAAAATTCTTAAAGTGAACATAAAGATTAAACCAGAAACTTTCCTTCTAGGTCTAATGGAAAGAGAATTGGAAAAAAAATTTGGAATACTGATTTTATATACGGTGATTGCAGCAAGACTGCACTGTGCACAAAAATGGAAGGAAGTTTTGATGGACGAATGGTTACAAAAGCTGATGGAATTAGCAGAGATGTCTAAATTGACTATTTTAATAAAAGAAAAAAATATGTACTTTTGTTTCTACTTGGAAACCGCTTAGGACTTGTTGCTTGAGGTGGAAAATAATGATACTATGATTTTGGGTTTTACTGATTAGACTGATTTGTTGATACAGAAATGGCTAGTTTATATTTCTATAGAAATATAAAAAGTTGAGATTTGATCTTAATATCTTATTTTACTGCAACAGAGAGAGTAGGAAGTCAACACCTTTAGTTTCTTCCCCTCCCCTTCTCCACACTTTTTCATTTTCCCTTTTCCTATTGTTGTCCCTTACTATTTGCTTTTGTATTTTCATATTTTATGTTATAAATAAATAAAACTACTACTACTACTACTAAATATAGCAAGAAAAAAAGTTAAACAGACAAAAATCTCCCTATGATTTTATCAAACACTTTGTCTTTAAATCCCCTAAGTGCTCTGTAAGATGAGAGGAACAAATTTTCTTCCTTGAGCATTTGAGTGCCAAGAGTATCTAAGAACAAGTTTCCTGGACTATAAAAATCAGTTATTATAAAATAATAAAATATAAAAATATAAACAATGTAATTGTGGTGCACCTTGTCTTTCCACTTCTTCTGTAGCTTCCTATCTGTCAAATAACTTACTAGATTGTACTACACTTCTTTTACTAAGTTAATTCTGTCATGATTAAACCTTATATTAACAATTAAGTTTGACTAATTATCTCCCCAAGCTTTTCTTAAGACTTGAGGATCTAGCATTCTCAGTTTTAGCTGTCTTACTGGAGGTCTAACACTATGACAGAACCTCATATGAAGGAAGATGACATGACATTGTAATTAATAAAATATATCACTGGAGAATAAAAAAATGTATAGTTTGATTTTTTTTTTAAAAAAAGAGAATTGCTATGACATGTATATTTAACCAAAAAGCTTACCATTCCAGATGATTTTCTACAAATGCTGACATGGGGCTGATCTGTACAGTGTAAGTATCATTGGCCGAATACTCAAACAGGCCATAATAAGGATTGAAGAGCTCCTGAGAAAGGAGGAAGAAGAATTCTCGGGATGGGCCACTGTAATCCAACCTGAAAAAAAATAACCCACATGGAATGGATCCTTTTACTAACCATACACGTTTTATGACAAATAGCAGGTTCTGTCTCTTAATCCATATTAAACAGATAGGCATTTTATGGAAGTTTTGACAATGGAGTTTAAATTTTATTCAGAATTAATGTTGTAAATGTATTTCTCAAAATTGCTTTGAAATAGAACATAAATATGAAGTTGTTTAAAATGCAACTAAAATGAAGTTGCATTTCATATGCTCACATTTTCCAAATTACTATTTTGAACTCTATTTTTTTTACCTTTACTTACTGAAAGGGTGAGGGTCAGCAAAGAGATACCTCTATCTTCCAAAATCTGTTTCCTAATAGTCCCAGCATTATATTTAAAAAACTACAATGTAGGAAGCAGCAAAAATAGTTACATTATCAATAATGAAAAATTATTATAAACATACAAAAATAAATATCACTCAACATTTGTTATGTTTACTTTGGAAATATTAGTTTGAAATTCTTCCATAATTGACTGCTTTTTAACACTACAGAATTATTTATTCTTGATTATTTTACATCCTTACATTAAATGTTATTTTCATCTTGTCTGAAAAAATAACATAATGTCACTTACAATACCATTGGTTGGAATATTATTTATGTTGTGCGTTTTAAACAAATGTCAAGAATGTGAAGTATTTTGTGATTTGTGGCTGTCTTCAAGGCCCTTCCTCTGAGACAACTAGCAAATAAGTCTTTCCTAGAATGATTTGCCCAACCCTAATATATATTATAATTTAATACAGTATATAATTATATAAATTATGACCAATTGTTATTCTTCTTTCATTATTAACATAATTTTAGCCTAATTCTAACTAATAAGAATTCTTTATTTCATAAATAGAAATATTTGAATATTAGAATTTGCTAAATTCCTTAGCAAAAATATACATTTTACTTCCTAAACCATCTAAGTTCAGGGAGTTCTTAATTCAATTCTAAATTTTTGAATAAGTCATTAATTCCCTTGTAAGTTCTTACTGATTCTGCAATTACCAGCAGGTTCTGTAAGATGCTTTTATAAGGGCCAGACTCATACCAATTATTTACATCCATATATACTATTCTTCATTTGAAATAAATAAGGAAGAAAACTGCTACTGTGCTGATCTAAATTGCTCTTTTGTTTAATCCACCTTGACTTTTTCTACCATAATGCAATGACATTACGATGCTAAAAATGCATTATTTGGATTTAATTCCTTATCAGTTATTTTGTATAACCTATTCCATTGGAAGTTCAATCAATATAAAATAAAGAGAACAAGCTTTTGGGTCACATGTTGTGACTTCTTACCCTTCTTCCCCAACAAATGTAACATAGAGTTTATTTCTTTGGAGCTCCTTCCGTGAGTAAGCCATCACCTGATTAAAAGTGCCTTCCAGCAAATGGTCACGCCTTATTATTAATCTGGAGTGGGGTGAATGAGAAGTAATTATGTAAATTGGATTATCCAATTATTGTTATTGCAGTAATTAATTAAATATAAAGTTCTCTTCTGCAATAAGTTGCTTCAATATTGCTGAAACTATATTGACCCATCAGTTCTTTGTAAATAAAATAAAATTATAGTGTCTATCAGTCTGCCAGCAGAGAATTACAATTATAAAATCTTCCTTGTTAGAACTGTGCTGCTAAATAATCACAAAAGAGATTTTTAGTGATGATGCTTCAGCTTTGGAACATTATCTCTAAATTAATACACTGAAAATTTATTTACATTTTTTTCAGTGTCAATAATTTTATTTACTCGAGTATTTTAATTTGTATAAACCTTTATTATATCTTCTAAAGTTTTATTCCGTGTGATTGCCTAACATTAAAGCTGTACTCTTTGGATTTTTTGTGATTGGGTACTGGCTAAATTCAAAAGAACTGACCATAATTCTTAAGAAATATTTAGCTCGTCCACCCAGAAAATGGTGCTCTGAACTAGCAATGCATTGTTTGCTCTACTAGACAAATGGCTGGTTTGGTCGCAAGGAGCTAGTCTCTATAGCTTATTTACTCCTGGATTAGAAAAAGAGTGACGCAGAATCAACCTGAAACTTCTTGGACAGTTTGTGCCTGGCTGGGGGAGATGAAATTTGGAGGGTAAGCTCAACCAAAGCTCAACTAAAGCACAAAATTTTATGGAAAGATGTGGATCGGAATTTCACCATTTTTTCAAAAGATAAAGATCAATTACCACAAGAAATAGGCCTGAAAGAAAAAGACAAACAGAGATTTGATGTTGATCAAGAACAGGCTGTGTAGATGGTAGATGTTCTGGAGAGACCATTTAATTGCTAAAGTATATAAATGTTACTCAGGATGAACCTAGATGACCAATATGTAAAAGACTGCATGATAAAATGAGCAAAACTTTTTGGGTATAATGCTAGATAATTGCGAAAATATATGGTCTAATGGACTAAAATTTATTTTGAATTATAGTTTGAAACAATTTTTTTATAAAATGATGTATCATTAGTATTTGACTCCAGATAGATTAGAGGGACTTATAACAAGTATTGGAAATGTAATCAAAATTGAATTATTTTTGTTTGTGGTGGTTTTTCATGTATGTGAAAACATTCTGCATAAACATAATGATGATACAGAAAATACTTAAGATACAAATATTAATAAACCTAAAGCTTTTCTTATAGGTATTATGGATAAATCAATTGAAAAACAATTTGGGATGTTCTTTCCTTCCATGGTGACTGCTGCAAGGATTGCATTCACTAAGCACTGGAAAGAAAAGGAGATGCCTTTCCTTGGAGAATGGATTTTACAATTGACTGAATTGGCAGAGATGGCAAAATTAATTGCCTTGATTACAGATAATGGACTAGATAGCTTTACAAGAGGCTGAAAGTCATATACTTTCTACATGTTAAATACAATAACAGATGGTTAACAGAGGGTTTTGAAGATTAGTATAATATTTGGGCTAACCTGTTGACTGGTTTTTTTCTTTTTTTCTTTTTTATATGTATTAGTGTCATCAGTTTGATTATTAGATAGAGACATCATCTAAAATATTTGTTTATATAATATATTTTTCTTGTTAAATAAGGATGAGAAAGTTTATAATTATTTATGGACTCTTTATGTAAGGCAGGGGTGTCAAACTGCTGGCCCACAGGCTGGATGCATCATAACAAAACTGCGCCCACCTCATTGCTGGCAAGAGCAAAAAAGTTGCAATATGTCGCGACGTCACATGATGTTGCGAGTTTGATACACCTGATGTAAGGGGATGAGAATTTATCAGGTTTTTGATCTTTTCAGGATCTAGCTAGAGTGGATTTTTTATATGTTTAATGTTGGATGTTTGGGTCATTTTTTTTTACTTTTATGTACACTTTTTATTTTTGTTTTGTTGTTGTTACTACTGGATGTATGTTTTTTTTGTTTTCTTATTTTGTATTTTATTCCTATTGATAAAACATAATAAATATATACATGAAAAAAGGAAAGAAATACTTATCTCTCCACAAAATATGCAATCACAAATTACATGAACAGATTTCCTTCCTTTATTATGTACTAGCTTCACAATTATCACAATTTGCACTTAGATTGTATTTACATATTGCTACCCCTCCTTTGTATTTTTCTGCTTTGCAGACTGAAATCTTCTCCAACCAGATTCCTTTATAAAAACATTCATATTCATATTTGTAAATTATTAAATAAATAACATATAGGAATCAATAATAAACACTTACTTAATTTTACCTGGACCCTGCCCATATCCTTTTGCTTCAAGCTTTCGATAAAAGTTGCGAAGCTTGGCTTCAAAGTCCCTTCTGTAAGGAGAAGGTGCTCTTGCACTGGCCCGCTGCAAGCCTGATGAATGCAAACATAAGAAAGAACTTACAATTTGCAGCTGCTGGGTTGAACTAATACTTGCTAATAATGGATCTGATTCATTAATGATAACCTTTATATCTAAAAGGCAAACCCTTTTATTTCACATTTATAGGATATGGGTAGTCATTCAGCTGTTTAGAAGGTTTCATGTAATCAACTGAGATTATAGATAAGGGTGTAGATGAGCTTTTGTGAAGAAGCCACCTATCTCAACCAACACCTGTACTTTAGAAAAAAAATAGATGTGATTTACACACATTTGTGTCCTTCCATGTCACTTCTGTGCCTGTGTCCTGCTGTAATTGTGCTGCCTGGACAGGACATTCATTAGTGATCTTGGTATAGGACAAGGAATTATATAATATAATGTCATCATGTCATAAATTATTAAGAATATAAGAAACATAAGTTAGATTAGACTAAATACATTTATAGAAGAATATGATGATTATTCTTCACAGGTATTCTACTTCTGATGAAAGAAACAAGACATTATGATTAGCAAACATTCATGTACATATTTTCCATTAATTTATCCATTCCACCTTTAAATGCTGTACATTTAAACAACTCAGTATAGATTACTAAATTCTCTAATGTGTGTATATATATATATATATATATATATATATATATATATATATATATATGTTATATATAGCAAAGAATTTAATTTTATCTGTCCTAAATATACCACCATTTGGCATTATTAAATGATACCAGATTCAAATATTAATATAGAATGTTTCACATGGATCAAGAAAGAAAACAATACTGAAGCTATTTTTCGAGATCATGTGGAATTCAGTCTTGCATCTTCTGGAAAATATTTCTCTATACGTAAAAAACAGTGCTTTGATTGCATTTCTTTAAATATAAGATCTAAAAAAATAATTTACATTTTTCAGCTACACCAGCAAACATATATACAACTCTATTGTGTGGCAACAAGATTTTGTTATGCATTTTTTTGTAATGAAATTATTTTCTTAGCATGCCCAAACAAGTCCTCCATTACAAGGAAAGTTTCAGCTACTAGGATTCTAGCTATAGGTATTCATTTGCTTTGAAGCTAACAACACAAAAGTAGCAAATTCTTTCTTTCTTGCAAATTAACAGTGTATTATAGCGGGAGGGAAGAAACTGAGAGCTGTCAACAAACTTTCTTTTTTGGCAGAGTATTTCTCAGATGAGATATAAAGTAAAATATGTGTTTATAATGGGTACAAAAAATAATAGGAAAAATTTGTTTTAGACAAGGTCTTGTAGGTTGCTATTGATCTGCTTTGAAAAACAGAGAAAAGTTGTTCAGCCTTATACAAAGAGAATATTGGAAAAATATCTTTTGTCATATTTTTCTATGGAGAGGGGGGATGGGCAAGAGGGAGATCTAAAAAACAAGACAGGATGTTATTTGGCTGCTGTATTTTTTGGAGGGGATAACAGGAAACAAATCTAGCCACAGATATCACTCTCAAGAGCTTTACCTGGAGAATTCTGAGGTGATGAACAGGGTGAACAACGGGGGGAAAAGCTGTAGCCAGGATGGAAGGCTGATTGAAGAGGAATGTAGGACATAATGTCTTCTTCAAAAAGACTAAAAGAGAGAGAAATATGAGAACTTCGTTATGTGCAAAAATGTCCAGAAATCTGAATCTCAGGGACAATGTGTTTTACAGAATGTCAGCCTTAGATGACAACCTCTTAAGAGGGTTTAAAGTTCCTCCAGCCAAAGCAAGTACAAAAAAATATTTAATGAGACAAAGCAAACTTATTTTATCTCCTCAGTCAGTTCCACAGTTAGTGTTCATAAGTAATATAAGAGAAACTTGGTTTCCAGTTGCTTTTTACAGATTCCAAATCCGAGAATAAAAATTGAACTAGAAAGGGTTGGACTAGAAGATTTCCAAAGTCCCATCAAGCTGTGTTATTATATTCTGTTCTGTTCTGAACAAAAGGAACTTTTCTAAATTTAGAAAACATTCTTTAAAGAAAGCTAATACTGCACATGAAATACAAACATATTTCCACTACATATTGTATTTCCACTTAATTTTCCTTTTTCAAAGGACGTTAATAATTTGTTCTAGTTCTAGGATTGCTCATATTTTTCTAATAACATTCTCAGCCTTAATAACTAAAATTATGTAGATTTTTTTTTTGACTATGAGTTTTGTTAATATAAGTATAAAGTAGCTACTGTTGGAAGGAAGGATTTAGATATAGAAAGGAATCATTTAATTACTAAGTATATTGATTTCCAGATTCCAGGGGGGGAATAGCCAGTTGTAGTGTCCATAAATTTAGGCTGTCACAGCTGTGAACTAGAGGGAAGATTCTGTCATTCAGCTCCCTGTTGTTCAACTCATTAGCCAATCAGAAAACATCCATTTCCATGACTTGCTCATGAGGAATGAGAGTCTGGAGGGCAAATGGGTTGATTAAATTATGGAGGAAGAAAAAGTTCTCCATCTCCCCCTCTCTTCCACAGTAACTGGGGGCAAAATAAGCAGTGAAGATTACCAGATATAAGTAATTTTAAAAGAAACTTTTGATTTATCGGCCTGTGCTGGAATAAGATGTTATTATTGAAGTTGAACAATTATCTGGAGACAACTGATATGGATTTACTGCATTTACCATTTTAACCATTCAATCCTGTCCGACTCCTGGCAGCTTTATAGGCAATGTTTTCCATGCTACGCTACCAAGCACAGCATGTTCAGTTGTTCAGTGTTCATCTTTGTATCAGTTTTGATGTTTTCAAGCCAGCAAGTTCCTTGTTTGCCTCTTCTTCTTGTTCCCCTAACAGGGGATGATTATTTTTGGTATTGATTACTATTTTTATATTTTACAAAAGTTTAATTGTTAAGAGAGAAATGAAGGGAACAAGGTTTAAATAAAAAAGAGCTATATTTTTTATCTTACTGGGTATTTTTGTTAATTTTTGTTTTACTGGATCATTACTGTTTAATAAGGTGTATTTTGTTGTATTTTAAGAGACAGTAATGAGTTGTTACTGGAGCCACCTTTGGGCTTTTTGCAGGAAACAAAGAGAAATGTAATTTTGATTTTGGAATTTGATCATTGGAATTAATGGAATTATGGAAGTAATATAGACTATTGCGAATTTTAGAATAAGAGTTGGAGGTACCTTTTATCTATATCTATACCAAAGAAAGAAGCCATTTTTTTTCTTTTTTCTTTTTGCACTTTTATCTTGCTTTTTGTCTGATTCTTTTTTCTTACTTTTTTCTTGCATCTTAACTTTTTATTCCTTTTTGAACTTTAATAAAATTGTACTAGAAATAATTATTGTATATTACCTCAGAAGTATTACTAAATCTGCATCACAAGACAATTTTTCAAGTCCATGTGTACCCTCTGTTCGAATATAATGAATCTTCTCCCTAGAGAATTAACACATATCTGAACTGAAATTCTATTAAAGAAAACATTCCTTTTATTCTACACTGATCCTATTCCTCTTCAAAAAACTAATATAAAAATGCAGAAACATAAGTTGGTTTCTCTTATAAGCTTGTCAATATTTGTGTCCAAATCAACTTACAATGCAGGTAATTTCTGGTGAAAAATTATTTGACATTAACATTGTTCAGAAATAAAAAAAATACAGGTTATGTGCAGTCCAGATTGTCTTCAGAAAAGGAAAAGTTATAAAGAAAGCAGAATGAACAGTCATTTGGCAAAGAAAACTGTAATGGAAGAATTGATTAAAAAGGGCTTAAAACATTATTTGAAATATTATTACTGGAATTAGTTTAAAACAAAAGAGAACAAAATAAATAACTGGACAGTCATCATCAGAATTATCACCTAATGGAAAAGTGTATTTTAGAAACAATTAACTTATTAATGTGACTCATCTAAATCTTATATATGTTTTTTTTTCCTGGAGCCAAACTGAACCCTTCGGAATTAAATATCTTTTTGTCTAGACCCATAAATTAAATCAGACTAGTCAGCGATCCCAACATGTATAAACAAACAAACAAACCAGTAAGGAGGAAAAAGAAAGCAAGAAAAAGAAAGCAAACGTGGTTGAAATTTGCCATCCTCACTATGGCTTCATTAATGGGGAAGCCAGCAGGAAGTCAAAAATGGAGAACACATGACCTCAGGGTCAAATGATCATGCAGCAGTTGCCTAATGATATGCATGTTGGAACCAATGTCATAAATGTGGTATCTTGTTTTATGATGCTTTATGCATCTCTTAGCAAATGAATACTCAGTCACAATTACCATCATTAACCAAGGACTACATGTATATGTAGTCAATGAAGCTATAAGCTATGCCGTGCAGGGCCACCCAAGACGGACAGGTCATAGCAGAGAGTTCTGACAAAATGTGATCCACTGGAGAAGGAAATGGCAAACCACTCCAGTATCTTTGCCATGAAAACCCCATGGACAGTACTAAAAGGCAAAAAGATATGATGCTGGAAGATGAGCCCCTCAGGTCGGAAGGTGTCCAATATGCTACTGGGGAAGAGCAGAAGGCTAGTACTAGTAGCGCCAGAAAGAATGAAGCGACTGGGCCAAAGCCGAAAGGACGCTCAGCTGTGGATATATCTGGTGGTGAAAGGAAAGTCCGATGCTGTAAAGATTTTTTCTCCATAGGAACCTGGAATGTAAGATCCATGAATCAAGGCAAGCTAGACGTAGTCAAAAAAGAGATGACAAGACTGAACATCGACATCTTAGGAATCAGTGAACTAAAATGGACAGGAATGGGTGAATTTAACTCAGATGATCATCAGGTATACTACTGTGGGCAAGAATCCCTCAGAAGAAATGGTGTAGCCTTCATAGTCAATAAAGAATAGGAAAAGCAATACTGGGATACAATCCCCAAAATGACAGAATGATCTCAATTCGAATCCAAGGCAAACCATTCAATATCACAGTAGTCCAAATCTATGCCCCAACCACTGGTGCTGAAGAGGATGAAATTGACCGGTTCTATGAAGCCCTACAGCACCTTATAGAATTAACACCCAAAAATGATGTCCTTATCATCATGGGGGATTGGAATGCTAAGGTAGGAAGCCAAAAGATAACCGGAATAACAGGCAAGTTTGGCCTTGGAGTACAAAATGAAGCAGGGCACAGGCTGATAGAATTTTGTCAAGAGAATACTATGGTCATAACAAACACTCTTTTCCAACAACCCAAGAGACGGCTCTACACATGGACATCACCAGACGGTCAACGTAGAAATCAGATTGACTATGTGCTCTACAGCCGAAGATGGAGAAGCTCTATACAGTCAGTAAAAACAAGACCAGGAGCTGACTGTGGCTCAGATCATGGGCTTCTCGTTGCAAAATTTAGGCTTAAATTGAAAAAAGTAGGGAAAAGCACTAGGCCACTCAGGTATGAACTAAATCATATTCCTGATGAATATACAGTAGAGGTGACAAATAGATTTAAGGAATTAGATCTGATAGACAGAGTGCCTGAAGAACTATGTATGGAAGTTCGCAACATTGTACAAGAGGTAGCAACTAAAACCATCCCAAAGAAAAAGAAATGCAAGAAAGCAAAATGGCTATCTGCGGAAGCTTTGCAAATAGCTGAGGAAAGAAGGGAAGCAAAAGGCAAAGGAGAAAGAGAAAGATACACCCAATTGAATGCAGAATTCCAGAGAATAGCTAGAAGAGATAAGAATGCCTTCTTAAATGAACAGTGCAAAGAAATAGAAGAAAACAACAGAATAGGGAGGACCAGAGATCTCTTCAAGAAAATTGGAGATATGAAGGGAACGTTTCATGCAAAGATGGGCATGATAAAGGACCAAAATGGCAGGGACCTAACAGAGGCAGAAGAGATTAAGAAGAGATGGCAAAACTACACAGAAGAACTATACAAGAATGAGCTTAACATCCCAGATAACCACAATGAGATGGTCATTGACCTCGAACCAGACATCCTAGAATGTGAAGTGAAATGGGCCTTAGAAAATCTGAGCAACAACAAAGCTAGTGGAGGTGACAGTATTCCAGCTGAGCTATTCAAAATCTTAAAAGACGATGCAGTAAAAGTGCTACACTCAATTTGCCAGCAAATTTGGAAAACTCAACAGTGGCCACAGGATTGGAAAAGATCAGTTTACATTCCAATTCCAAAGAAAGCAATGCCAAAGAATGTTCAAACTATCGCACCATTGCACTCATTTCACATGCTAGTAAAGTTATGCTTAAAATCCTACAAGCTAGACTCCAGCAGTATGTGGATCGAGAACTACCAGAAGTACAGGCAGGATTTCGAAGAGGCAGAGGAACTAGAGATCAAATTGCCAACATACGCTGGATCATGGAGAAAGCTAGGGAGTTCCAGAAAAACATCTACTTCTGCTTCATTGACTATGCTAAAGCCTTTGATTGTGTGGCTCACAACAAATTGTGGCAAGTTCTTAAAGAGATGGGAGTACCAGACCATCTCATTTGTCTCTTGAGAAACCTATATGCGGGTCAAGAAGCAACAGTGAGAACTGGACACGGAACCACTGATTGGTTCAAAATTGGAAAAGGAGTCCGGCAAGGCTGTATACTGTCGCCCTGCCTCTTTAACCTATATGCAGAGCACATCATGAGAAAGGCAGGGCTAGATGAAACAAACGTTGGAATTAAGATTGCCGGGAGAAATATCAACAACCTAAGATATGCAGATGATACCACTCTAATGGCAGAAAGTGAAGAGGAGCTAAAGAGCCTCTTGATGCGGGTGAAGAAGGAGAGTGCAAAAGTTGGCTTGAAACTCAACATTAAGAAAACCAAAATCATGGCATCCGGCCCTCTCAATTCCTGGCAAATAGATGGGGAAGAAATGGAGGTAGTGACAGATTTTATTTTTCTGGGCTCCAAGATCACCTCAGATGGGGACTGCAGCCAAGAAATTAAAAGACGCTTGCTCTTGGGGAGGAAAGCTATGGCAAATCTAGACAGCATACTAAAAAGCAGAGACATCACCCTGCCAACAAAAGTGTGTATAGTCCAGGCCGTGGTTTTCCCAGTTGGAATGTATGGCTGGGAAAGTTGGACCATAAGAAAGGCTGAGCGCCAAAGAATTGAGGCTTTTGAACTATGGTGCTGGAGAAGACTCCTGAGAGTCCCTTGGACTGCAAACCGGTCAGTCCTAGAAGAGATCAACCCCAACTGCTCTTTAGAAGGCCAGATCCTGAAGCTGAAACTCAAATACTTTGGCCACCTAATGAGAAGGAAGGACTCCCTGGAGAAGGGCCTAATGCTGGGAAAGATTGAGGGCAACAGAAGAAGGGGACGACAGAGAATGAGATGGCTGGATGGAGTCACTGAAGCAGTAGGTGTGAACTTAAATGGACTCCAGAAGATGGTAGAGGACAGGAGGACCTGGAGGAGCGTTGTCCATGGGGTCGCAATGGGTCGGGCACGACTTCGCAATTAACAACAACATTTATATTAATAGCCAACATACAATGCAACTAGTAAAATCACCTGATATACTGAGCTGTACCTATCAAGCTTAACTATGAAATTAATCATTCTTTTAATCTTGCTACCTTTTTTAGTTTGCAACAATGGTGTTATGGTGGGTTTATATATATATATATACATGTTGCCAAAAATTACATGTTGCAAAAATATGTCCTTCTGGATGGCATTTTAACTTGGTATTTACAAATTATCATTGTGATGCAAACATCATTAAACTAAGAGTGAATGGGAGGCCATACAAATTTTCTTAAATAAATAAATAAATTAACGAGCCATATTTAGGGATATGGAGTATTTCAAATCCAAAGCTGAAAATGTACTTCAAAGAGAGCATAGATCTGTATATCACACTACTGGTGCTTCTTTGAGGAACCAGAATCTTTTCTTGAGTTATCTCAATAGCTGCTCAATCCCAGGAAAATACATGTTTGGATTAAGAAGGAATTTGTAGCATGCAACAAGGCATTTCAGGATGGATGTAAGCATACTATCAACATCTATTGATATAATCCTTGAAGAGACAGACCCTTTTCAAGAAGATACCAACAGATGTGGCAAGCACACCGATGTCTATTCCAAAGGATCTTTTCAGCTTCCAATTCAAAGCACTGAACATTCCAAAATATATTTCTGACCATGGCCAAAAAATTCCTTAATCTAGTTATATCTGATTTTTATACTGATGATATAAGCACTTTATTATATATATCTACGGTATAAAGTAAAACAACGTTACTGTATACTTTTCAGTCCCTAATATTCTGTTGTTCAGTTGCTGTGTCTGACTTTTCACAACCCCATGGACTATAGCATGCCAGGTCTCCCTGTCCGCAATTGAAGGAGTTTGCCCAAATTCATGTTCATTGCATTGATGATACCACCTAACCATCTAATCCTCTGCTGTCCCTTTTATTGTACTACTATTTTAAGGGCGTAAAGTATTAGTATTACTAATCAATAGTTTTCTCACTGTAGTTGTTTTACAACTAGTCCTCAACTTACAACCACAACTGGAACTGGAATTTCCATTGTTAGTCTATGTGGTCATAAAACCAGTCATTGCATGATCAGACCTGATTTTACTACAATTTTTACCATGGTCATTAAGAGAATCACTGCATTCGTTAAATTAATTACAGGTAGACCTCAATTTACAACATTTGTTTAATGTTGTAAACAAAGTTACAATGGCGCTTTAAAAAGTGAGTTATGACCATTTTTACACTTACGACCATTGTAGCATCTTCATGGTCACGTGATCAAAATTCAGATGCTTGCCAAATGGTTCATATTTATGACAGTTGCAGTTTCCTGGGAGAATGTAATCACATTTTATGACCTTCTGACAAGCAAAGTCAATGAGCAAGCCAGATTCACTTAACAACCACATTACTAATTTAACAACAGCACTGATTCACTTAATAACTATGGTAAGAAAGATTGTAAAATGGGACAAAACTCACTTAACAAATGTTTCACTTAACAACATAAATTTTGGACTCAATTGTGATTGTATGCAGATTAAATTTAGGGTCCTGGTGACCAACACAGATTGGATCTTGAAGTCTAGCTATAAAGTAGGCAGACAATAACTTTGATCTTCTAATTGAAAATGAAAACAAATTAATCTGGAAAAGCAAAGCACACATTACCTATCTACCTAGCTTATTGTCTATAGTAACTAGCAAACTCCATGTTGCTCACACTTCGGGGCTTTCCTATCTTACCTTCACCAGAATATTCAGTAATTTAGCTATAGATTGTTGTACCTGAGTGTATGGTTTCTAGCCAAACTTGGCTGACGCTCCTGCAGCATTTCAAAAATATTAGGCTGGCGTAGAAATGCGACTATTTTGTCATTGTATGCTGAAAAAGTACAAAAACATCTCAGTTTGAAATCATTCTTCTGTTTTATTGTTTTTATCTTAAATTTTGTTTTAAAAATATTTAACTATAAAGAACCCTGGGTTTTCTGATGGAAAAGTAATATATTGAATAAGTAAACGAGCAAAAAGCAAATAAATTTAACAAGTAAAAATAACATGGAAGATTAGGGCTGTGTAAAGCATTTGTTTTGAGTACAAAAAGTATCTATCTCTGAATCTTCAAAAGTGCTTGCATCTTTTCCAAGTAATACTCCAAAAGCTGCTCAGTTCTTTCCATATGCAAATACTTTAGTTATTTGAAAAAAATGGCACTTCATTTATGCTGTCATGAATTGCACAGCATCTTGTTGAAATATTTTGCACAGCCAAATGTCTATGGAGATTTTCAATCATCCAGGTCATATTGTGCAAAGATGCTTTTTCCAAATGTTTAGCTTCTCATCCAAGAACTAAAATGACTGAATAAGCTTCTTGGATGAGTCCAGTCTAGTTGTCTTTTTGTAAAAGCATCTTTGATACTTTGCACAGTCATATAACAGATATGCTGCTGACCAGAATTCATAGCATAACGATAGGGGATATACTGTCACAGCATACTCACTCAGGATTTTTGGACAGAACTGTTCATGCTACCCATTTCATCCTGGTTGCCTACTTGTACTAGTTGAACAGCAGAACAGAGAATGTCTGACCTTCATCTAAACTGTGGACCTATCAAGGTCTCTCCCTTCCTACAACATCCTTTCTTTCCCCTGTTCCTGGAGATGTAATAGACTTCTCAGAGCCAGAGAAAGAGAATTGTCATTTATAAAATATTACAGGGACAGAATTTGTGCACATTCCTCCACTAAAATTGATATGAACATGCCCACTGCTTCCAGACAAGTCTTCTCACCCAAATTGTTTCAAAGAGCAAATTCCTTAACTGGGGTGAGCAAAAGGATCAAAGAATCGTTGCCTGAATTGGTTTACTGATTACTAGATAACTGAAATGCACACATCCAATATCTAAGATTCTGAAACCTAATCCCTTTTTTCCTTTCAATAAATATGGTTAATAAGACCCTGGAAGGATTCAGATTCCAGAATCTGTAAGGGAAATTGGATATGTGTACCTTAGCATTCCATTGTCAGTTTGCTTTTTCAGGCAGGGACTGATTCTTCTTGCTGCTTGTTTCTCTAATATAGGAACAATATGCTGATGTTCCAGGCCTTTAGTATTTTGCATCATTCTGTTTTCCAGACTTTGAGAAGTCTATTATAAAAGCCACATTGAAAGTACTATAGGTGCTTCAGCTATTCCACATCTTTTCTGAAATATTTTGGCTTATATTATGCAAAGATAGCCAAGTAGGAGTACAATAGGTTTGTGTTCTACTAAGAAAAGAATTAGACTTGCTTTTGGGCTTATTCTTTAGTTCATCCATAATCTGCTGTTCTGAAAAAAACAAACAAAAAACCTTTTTAAATTCCACAAGATGTGCCTAAGGAATTCCATCCCACCCTATCTGAAGTAGCAACTTATTTAACACTTTTTTCTTGCCTTGTCATATGCTGTTTTTATATATGCTATATTTGTAGATGTGCTGCTTATGCTTTTATGGATTTAATAGTCTTTATTTTCATACATTATGAGCTGTGTTGCAAAGTAAAAACCAGAAAAGTTGCTTATACATAATGGCATTAATACATGAATGCAATATATTTAGACTGATTTACCAATAGCTAAATTAGATATTCAACAGCACTGCTAAACCTGGTAATTATGTTATTTCTAAAGTGTTACAGCCAAGAAGATGGGAAGGGACAATTTCCAATGAAGCAGCAGTTTTACTGCTTATTAATGAACTCTTTCTTTGTGTAGTTCTGTCCCCAGATGGGATTGATAAACCTGTTGCAATCACTCATTCTTCCATTAAATGAAGCCACATTTCTTAAATGAAAAAAATAACAGCAGAAATTACAGTGAGCCTTTTATTTTGGCTAAAAAAATTAGTAAATATTATCTGAACTGACTTGAAAAGCAGTGATACATACCAAGAGGCAAGGATTCATGATGGTGCTGATTTCGAATTGCTGCTACTAGGCTGTTGGCTGGTCTGGTCAACAAAGAAATCCCTCTGTTTCGAGAGACTTCTGATGCCTGAAATAAAGAAGACCTATAACTATATTGTGAGTATTGAAAGAAAAAAGTTGGATTGATTTTTTAAAAAGATATATGTATTTATAAAAAAGCCATAGTTACTTGCCAAGACAAAATATGCCAACTAGAAAAGTGTTGAAAAATGAAATTAGTATTTTGTTGTTTGACTGCACCAGAAAAGCAATGTTTTATACCTGGGCAACAAAAACCAAAGGTACAAGTACAGATTAGGCAAAACCTGGTTCAAAAACAGTAACTGTGACAGGGGTCTTGGAGTCCTAGTGGACAATCACAGCAGCCCAAAAAGCTAATACAATCCTTGGTTGTATAAATAGAGGCATATAATCAAAATCACATGAAGTATTAGTACTACTTTATAAAACCTTGGTAAAGCCACATCTGGAACACTGCATTCAGTGTTGGTCACCACATTACAAAAAAGATACTGAGACTTTGGAAAAAGTGCAAAGAAGAGCAACTAAGATAATTAAAGGCCAGAGATTAAAACATATGAAGAACGGTTGCAGGATTTGGGACTGGCCAATCTAGAGAAAAGAAGGACTAGGACGGACATGATAGCAGTATTCCAGTATTTGAGAGGCTGTCACAAGGAGGAGGGGTTACTTTATTTTCCAAAGTAGCAAAAGGCAGGACAAGAAACAACAGATGGAAACTAATCAAGGAGAGAAGCAACCTGGAATTAAGGAGAAACTTCCTAACAGTGAGGACAATCTACCAGCAGAACAGCTTGACTTCACACATTGTGGGTGCTTCATCACTCAAGGTTTTTAAGAAGAGAGTGGACAGCCATTTGTCTGAAATGATATGTCAAACTGCTGGACCATGGGCCAGTTGCATGATATAGAGGCTGCGCGCACCCCAACTCTGGCAATGCAAAAAAAAGTCATGATACGTCGCAACACATCACATGATGTGGTGAGTTTGACACCCGTGATATAGGGACTCCTGCTTGAGCAGGGGGCTGAACTAGAAGACCTCCAAGGTTCCTTCCAGCTCTATTCTGATTGATTGAATATTAAAAATTATCCCACTTAAGGCTACAATTCTTTAATTTGTCCTGATTTTACTGATTCAGGAAATGTCATGAAAAAAATGTTCCAGTGGAATTAGCTTGAAGGCATAAAAGTTACCATTTCTCCTCTCTGTCTCTAATGGACATGACTGTGTTCAAAGAATCTGCTTAAAAATAATATTCTTAACCATAATGAATAAAATGATTGGGTTAGGGATAGTAGGGTATAAAGTGCAATTATTTATTTATATTTCATACTTCTTATGAAAGAATGAAACATACATAAATAAACAAATTCTTGACCATCTCTCTTAATGGTCTGCAAATTTTAAGACATAATCGAAGTCACTACTTGTATAGTATTTTGATCATTTATTTACTTATTTATTTATTATCCATTACATTGGACTATCATTGGAAAAAGAAGCTTGTTTAAAAATTAGTAAATCCAAGATTATTGATGTGCCAATGCCATTTAAATATCCAGCCAAATTCTAACTATTTTAAATTGGCTTTAATTTTAAAAAGAAAAGCAACAACAGTTAAACCTGATCTGTAACTCACCTTGGCAAAAAAAAAAAAAAAAAACCAGAAGTGACACACAGGTAAATAAGTAATCAGCCAATATACCAATACATGTGTCAAATAAGAATTGGATTAACATTAATGAAAAGCTTTAATTCAATATTGCCTAATAATTGAAACATAAGCGTGATGTGAACATTATGCTAAAAAATTGAAATAGTCTGCTTTTCATTTCCTCTCTTCATTATGTTACAATTACTGTTATATGGATCTTTGAGGAGTTATTCTGCTGTGTTTGGACAGAATTCTAAAAAGGATGAGAATAAAATAGAAACAACAATAAAACAATTGTGAAAATTTTGTAGTCAGATTTCTGAATAATGTTGATTCTGAATAACAAAATCTAAGAAAGCTAAAACTTAAGCTACCAAATAACATATTTTTTTTTCAAATTCAACAGAACCACTTTGAATCAGTAAATTTGAAAAAAGAGCAATTATGGGGAGGTTACCCTTCATTTTAAAAAATGCATCAGAGGTTAATTATTTATCTATTTCAACAGATCAGACTTCATATCAGACTTATCCTACCATAGGTAAATTGGCAAAGAAGCTTAAAAGCTAAGCGTAGGATTCACGTATAGGAGACCCCTGTTTAATCCCTGCCCTATCCAGCTATGACTGAAAAGCTTCTTAAAGCTCAGGCAGCAACTGCTGGTTACTATAGTCGGTAAGAAGCTAGGCAAATGTATGGTCTAGTTCAATGGTGGCGAACCTATGGCACGTGTGCCAGAGGCGGCACTCAGAGCCCTCTCTGTGGGCATGCATGCCGTGTTCTGGAGATGGCAAGGGACTGGCCCCACCCACCCAGTCTGCCACGACTACCATGGCCATGCCCATTCGGTGATAAATAAATGGGGTTTGGGTTGCAATTTGGGCACTGGGTCTCTAAAAGGTTCGCCATCACTGGTCTAGCTCACAGTTTCCAGCTTTTTATTATTATGTCTTTTGACATGTTTTTTATGCCAGAAATGTTAATTCTACCGTCTTTTTCTGCTACAGACAACGTCCAAGCCTGGACGTAGATAGAAATAGCATTAGTCACTGTAATTGATGATCACTGTTGATTTTTCTAAATCAATTGTGAAGTGTGTTGGTACTTCAGTAGTTCAACTCCAATTTAAATGGGCATTTTCAACTGGTGTTACTCAGATAGAAATGTCATCACAGCTATTACTCCTTGTGGAATTATAGAAGTGTCCCTTTAAATCATAGCTAACCTTAGCCCAGAGATAGTTACCTGAAAGTCAATAAAGGAAAGAGGAGGATTCATTCAGGTTTGGGGTTAAGCTGGAGTCTTGGATGAAGGGAGTGCCCATGAAATCGGAATTATTTACCTATAGTTAGAACTGCATTAATGTTTATTACATTTTATCTTTCTAAACTGTGTGAATGTTTAAATTAGAGTTATATTATTTTGGCAGCTTAAAAAAAGGGTATGGGAGGTGTTACTTAAATTCTGGGATTTATTAGCTGCCTTTTAGCACTTAGCCCAGCTTGATTGAGCTACTGTCTCCCCAAATTTTTGCTTAATGTCTCTTTCTGTATTAAGTCAGACCTAAGGTGGGGTGACAATATTCCTTTAATCCTCTCCTTATTCCCCAGAGGACTGGTGTGGAAGAAAGAAAATAATTTGTAGTGAAGGGTTGAAACACCTAATTTCTACTCATGTTCACCCTTAAGCACCCTTTACCTCAGAGCCTTGGTTGAGGAGGATTGATTCAACCCTGAGAATAGTTTTACCTTATTATAGGAGCAAATACCACCTATCACACTTATATGCCTCTATATGAAGCCTGGTGTATGTGTGTGTGTGTGTGTGTGTGTGAAAAAATAATATTATGTGAAGTATAATCGAAAACCAAGATATATTTTGCCATTTCAGATAGAAATATTGTGAAAAGTTTGACCTTGTCTATAAAGAGTGAGGGACTAATTTGAAAATTCCAGGTAAAATTGAATCTCAGTCTGCTGGAACATAATATTTCTCAGAGAGGAAAAACTTGAACCTCATCATAGATTCATAGCTACTATAAGTAGTCTTCCACTTACAACAGTTTGTTTAATAAGCTTTTGAACAGCACTAAAAAAAGTGACATCATTTTTTCACGCTAACAACCATTGCAGCATCCTCATAGTCATGTGATCAAAATTCAGCTAACACGTATTTTACGATGATGGCAGTATCCTGGGGTCATGGGACCATCTTTCATGACAATTGGCCGCAGCTGTCTGACCTCACCCACTTTACCCCATTCCCCTACCCAAACTAACCACTGAGGGCATTCCTACCTGGCTGCCCTACCATTCTGTTCCTACCACTGCATGGCCCTAGCCGATTCATCATTGGACAAATCATGGGCGATTTGCCACATGGAACAATTAGCCATGGATCCTGGTAGCCAATCTGTATGCCAAGGGATGGGCCTCTGTCTTCCCATTAGACACAGCAACAGAGAGAGTGGTGGTTGCTGTGTGGGGCAACTGGGCCATGCCTCCCTGCCAGGCACTCATTCCCGGCCACCCAGCCATCCCCAAAAGGAAGGGTGATGGGTTCCACCCGCCTTGCCATGCCTGAAGCTTGCCCAGCGCTATGCTGCTGGGTTGGAGAAAGCAAGATGCCACTCCTCCCTCTGGCTGCCATCGCCAAGCTGAAGGCAGGAGTCCTGAGTACTCCCTCTGGAGTAGTGGCCTTGCCATTGGACACAGTGTACAGAGAAGGTGCCGGGTGGGCCAGTGGCCCAGGTGGAGGGATATGGCGGTTGCTATGTAGGGCAACCAGGCCACTTCTCCTTATCAGGCATGTTTTCCTGGGAGTGGCATAGTGTCCCACCACCTCCCAAGGTGGGCTACACCCACCTTGTCATGCCCGCAGCCTGCCCATCCTTGCATCACTGGAGCAGGGAGAGTGAGACACCACTTCTCTCTGTGGCTGCCATGGCCAAGCTGGTGGTAGGATTCTTGACTGAATTCCCCCCTCAGGGTTGGTGGCAACTCTCCCCACGAGCTAATCACTGCTGCTGCTGGCCATATTGGCACTTGGCTTGCAAGTTCTGCTCTGCACCCAGTTTCCCTGGGACACTCTTCTTGAAAATTTCAATGTTGCCTGTAATGGCAACACTGTTAATAATAATAAAATGCCATTTGTGATGCACTTTTTAAGGTTACTCCCTTGGCTCCCCCACCTCCCCATCTCCTCATTCTTCTTTTGGTGCTCTGGCAAGGCCCCAGAGGGGCCAGAAGAGAGGAAAAGTGAAGCAAAACTTTGACTTTCATCGCTCTATTCCTTTTATATGTGGCAATGGGTTGGGCCTGGCTACTTAAACCTCCTCCTCTCTCGGAGGCACAACTAGGCAGATAGAAGACTGCACACAAAGTGATCTGAGAATTTCTGTCATTCTCCGCATTTGGTCAAAAGTGCTTTAATCCCAATTAGGGGCAGCTTATCCAGGATCCTATTCACAGCCCTCTGCTCTTGAATATATTTGGACAAAAATGAACTTCATACATAGTGGCACCACTAAATGTGCCCAGCAGCAAGGAAAATTGACGTGAGGTCCAGGCACCTCAGAAGGCAAGGGTCAGAGAAAAGATAGGAATACATAAGGCGATTTGTCCCATGATGAAGTGTCCAGGCCTTGTGGTAAGGGAGGAATGGTGGGGGAGAGGCAGCTGGGGAAGAACACTCATGGTGGAGCAGCGGGGGCAGCAGGCTGGGATGAAGCTCTATATGAAGTGATACCTAGATAATTGTAGGACTGCCTACTTTAAACTTGATCTATAAAGAATGCACTTCACAAAATTCTAGAAATTCTAAGAGGACCTCTACTATGTAAAATTTTGGATGGGGAAGTGAAAAAAAATATTTTTCCAATCATACACTATATCCCAATAAAACACTTCCAGAAATTCAGATAGCATCATATATGATGGATATTAGAAAGGTAGTCAGAAAGGGGCTGTTCCAGATAGTATTTTCCATCTGATATGACTGAGCTGAATTCGAGCTTTATTGTATGTTCATACAATGTTATGTCTTTTAAAAATTATTGTTACATTATTGGTATTTCATGCAATCCACCAAAAATTCATATAAAATCAGCAGTATGTAAATATTGTAACAAATATCATTTCCAGTTTTCCTGGTTTTTTATAGGTATAACGTTAACAACTATATAAACTTGTCATGCTGTATAAACCCAAACAAAACTGCCTCTAACATCCTGCAGATTTATTTCCCAGAGATAAGCAAATAAATAATTCCTTTATAAAAAGTCATAAATATATATAACAGTGTTATTTAAAGCTCATGCTAAAAACTAACATCTGCTTTTACTGAAATGAATCTGAAGAAACCCTTAGGTTCTAATGCCCATATTTATGTAGCAATTCTAATAAATTAGGGGCAGCAGGAAAACATACCTCTCCAGCACTATAACTACGGAGTCTCTGAAGATGCTGTCTGTGGGTCAAGTGATTGGGTAGACGGCCATTCTGAAGTGGAATTCTGGGGTCAATGAAAGTGGTAGCACGACTGTTGTGGTCAACAAAGAAAGACTGCAATAGAAGAATACTAAGAATCAGAAATAATATTAAGAGAGCTATCAGAGTTGGAAATATGGAAAACAGGATTTAACATGATTTCTAATCTGATTTTTTTAATTTAAGAAATTAAATGATTAAATACAGTATGAATAATGTACTGAAAGTAGACTACATTATACAAACCAAGAAAAGCAATATGGATAATTATTTTAAGGTCTACATTCCTGAATAAATACTGCATGAAGACAAGCCATCTGAGGATAAGCCAAAACCCTCCAGTTAATATACTACTACTCCCCACCTTTCACACACACCAGCATTCCTGCTCAACCAATACCTATAATTTTTTACACAGAATTAAATACTAACTTCATTTCATTCTTGTACCTTGCCTTGTTGATCGGTTTTGATTTCCCAGCCTCGTGGGAGTTCCAACTGTGTATCAGCGAATATGTTGATGAAATTTACTAGGTCCCTATTATGCTGATACCTCTCAAAATTCCGAGCATCTCTGCGGATTTTCAGAATCATATGTTTCAAGCAGGTGCTATTGGTGAAAACTCGATAGGCACTCTGAATACAAAGAAAAAAAGTAGGATAATTCAAATGCATTGTTGCAAAATAACTATGATTATCTTTTGCCAATAAAACCCCAACCTACTAACCATGTGTGCCCTTTTAATATAGCAATTATCTATAGCAAATACCAATTTGGCAAAGCCCCTCCTAGCAACAATCTCAAACTGCTCTTGCAATAGAAACCAAAATTCCAGGAGGGCTCCCACACTGTGAGCTGGCAGGACAAGAATAGTGCCATTTCCTCCTTCCAAGTCCTGCTACAAGTCATCAAAGTGATCGATGCAATTCCTTCTCATGCCCAAGCCTGAAATCTCTCAGAATTCATATAATTTTTTCAGAGTTATTTGTAATTATCATTATTAATATACTAACAAATATTCTTTTTTGAATCACATAATTATTAGCTTCTACTATTTCCTTAGCACTGCCTTTTTCTACATTTTTGAAGAATATTGTCTTTCTTCTTTCCATCTTTTTTATTTTTAGGTTAGAATAGTTACAGACAGTGGTGGGATTCAGCTGGTTTGCATCACTTTTTTGTTGCCCAGGTCCAGAATGGACCTCCGGAAGCGGCATCCACACAGGGAATCAGTTTGTTCAGATATTTGAATCCCACCACTAGTTACAGATAATATAGCAGTTCACAAGCTGAGGAGTGGGAACTTGTGGTCCTCCTAGCAGTGCTCTCAGTAATCTCAGACAACATGATCAGCTCCAAAAGATAATAGCACTGGCTTCCTGTGGATCAAGCAGCTACGATGGCTGCTTTTCACAAAGCAGCCCGTTCCTGGGTTGTGTAAAAGCTGCAGGACTTTTACAATCAGCTGTCCTGTGGCTTGAATCTCTTCCCTGGGAGAAAGGGAAGAGAAGAGCTGCTCAGGTAGAGGTAAGAGCTCCCCTGGATCCCCATAATTTCAGGGATCGGAGGGTAGAGCTCCCTCGGAGCCTGAGCCAACTCCGCACTCCAGGACGTCTTTGTCCCGAAGTTCTGGGATGAAGCAAGCCGCTGCTCCCACATCTGCTTTTTTTGGAGGCTTGTGAGTATTCAAATGCAGACTGAGCAGACCAGGAGAAAGTGGATTTAAGATTTATTGTGACTTTAACTCCTGCAAGCATCTTCCCCCTCTTTTTTTGTTTACTTTCCCTTTTGAAGAAAGGGAAAGTGAAAGGCAAAATGGCGATTGTCTTTCTTGTTTGATCTGCATTACAAAGTTAAAATCCGGATACAGACTAATGCTTCAAATATAGAAGCAAGAATTTGTCTTTTTATCTCTTGTTTTTTCTTTTTTCTCTGTAATCTTTTTTCTTTTTTAAGGAATATTTAAAAGAACTATGATTTTTTCCTTTCCTTTTTTATTTTTTTAAACAAGAATCTTTCTTCTTAGAACTTAATGAAAATGGCTTTAAAACGTTTGCCTCCTCCTCCTAAAGCTACTATCTCTTCCCCAATGACCCAGCCTGTCTCCCAGAAACCAAAATCACCTCCACCCTCTCCTCCTCCTGCAATTTCTCTTAAAGATTTACAAGAAGCTTTAAAAAAGCATGCTTTGGATATTAAGGAGGAAGTAAAAGATCTTATAATTGCAGAGAGGGCAGTTACAGAAGAACTATGGGAGGCTAAAAATAAGCAAATAAGGGAGGACATACTTTTTGCCTTTCAGGGCCTTGCTCTGCACATAGAAAGGATTGACGACAGGATCGAGGAGATTAATGAAAATGCAACGAGAATGGAATCCAGGATGGAGGAGGTGGAGAATAAGATAGAAATCACACAGGATGAACAAATCATATTACAATATAGAGAGATGGAGTATGCATTGCGTATCAGGGGGCTGAGAGAGGATCCTCAGGAGGACTTAAAGATGCTTATTGTGAAAGATATCGCTCTTAATCTGGGCTGGAGGCCTGAAATAATTGGGAATGAGATAGAAAAAAATTTTAGAGTCAACTCACGGGTTGCTAGACAGAGAAACTTATCAAGAGATGTGGTCATCTACTTTTCTAGAAGATTTACTCATAATGAAATTATACAGGCTTTTTACAAACAAAAGTTTCAAATTGCAGATCAAGATGTGATAATTTTAAAAGAAATACCTCCCAAAATTTTAAGAGGCAGAAAAGACTTTGCTTTTCTGTCTGATAAGTTAAAGCATCGTCAAATCCAGTTTAGATGGAAGATTCCAAGAGGAATAATAGTGAATTATGAGGGGATACGTCATAGATTAACTACAGTTCTGAAGGCAAGAGATTTTTATCATTCTATTTTAAAGGCAAGATCGTCTTCACCCCCACAAACAAGGATAATGGAAGAGCCTGTTATGGCAGGAGCCTCATCAATGATGGTTATGGAACAAGCTGTACAGAATTTTGAGATAAAAGAACAAAGGATGACACGAGCTGCCCATAAACGTAAAAAAAAAGAGCAGCAGCAGAAGAGTGGAGATAAAGTTGAAGGCATGGTTATTACAGAGCCTGTGGGAGGGGCAAGACCCAAAAGATCTTCGACAGTGGATCTGCAGGCCATGCTCCAGAGGCTCCAGGCCGGTGGAGATGGCCAGGCTCCTGACCTGGAATGTTAATGGCTTAAATGTGCCACAGAAACGAAGAAAGATTTTCCATTATTTGAAACAACACAACAATGATTTGATATGTCTGCAAGAGACTCATATAACTTTAAAGGACTCCAAACTTTTGATGAATCCTCGTTTGGGTTCATATTTCATTGCTCCAGCTCCAGGGAAAAAAGGGGGAGTGGTAATTTACGTGAAGAAAATTTTTCCATCTAAATTAATTGAGACTGACTCTGAAGGAAGATATCTTTTTGTGGAATTATCATTACAAGGTAAAAAAGTTCTTATTGTTGGATTATATGCTCCTAATCAGCAACAGAAACAATTTTATAAGTTTTTGCATGGGAAGATATCCCAGTTGGATTATAAATCTGTAATCTTGATGGGTGACTGGAATGGGGTTCTAGATTCAATTATAGATAAAAGGAGCTCTTCTAAAACTTTTACCCAAACTAGGTTACCTAAAACTTTTTTTGATTTGAAAAAAGAATTGGAGCTTATTGATATTTGGCGAGAAAGGAATACAAGAGATAGAGATTTCACTTTTTATTCGGATAGACATCAATCATTTTCAAGAATTGACTTTTTCTTGATTACTAGTGATCTTCTTTCTAGAGTGAGGAAGGTGAAAATTTTTCCCAGAACTTTGTCAGATCACAGTCCAGTGTGGATGGAATTACATTTGGAAGATGGGAATAGAAGACCCTGGAGATTGAATGAGAATTTGTTTACTCGGGAAGAGTTTGTACAAAAATGTAAAGAGCATTTAAAGGACTTTTTTGCTATAAACATGAATAAGGGAACATCGATGTCCATGGTTTGGGATGCCAGTAAGGCATATATGAGGGGAATTTTGATTCAATTGAATAAGCTTTTAGAGAAAAAGGGTTAAAAAGACGTAGAGAAATAGAAGAAGAGATTAAATTAAAAGAACAAGAGTTTGTTCTTAATCCAAATGACAATAATTTAAAGGTATCTATAAAGATGCTTAAGGAACAATTTAATATGTTGATGGCAGATCATGTGGCTACTAATCTGTTGTATATGAGACATAATATTTTCTGTAATGCGAATAAGCCTGGGAAATGGTTGGCTTATCAGTTACGAAAGAAACAGAAAGCTAGAATTATAGAGAAAGTAAAATATAAAGGTACTGAGGTTTTTCAGCAAAATTTGATCCAAAAGAGTTTTTTAGATTTTTATACAAAATTATATTCAAGTGATAACATAAAGGATGTGGATATAGACAAATACTTACAATCTGTGCATTTTCCTAAACTCTCGGAGGAACAACAAAATGGGATGAATAGATTAATTACTGTGGAGGAAATTGGTTTAGCTATTAAGCAGTTAAAGGTTGGAAAATCTCCGGGAACAGATGGATTGACTTCGAGGTATTATAAGACTTTATCTGAAGAAATGATGGAGCCTCTAAAGGAACTTTTTAATAGTATTATGTTGGGTACACAAGTTCCTCCTTCTTGGAAAAGAGCCTTTATATCACTGATTCCAAAGGAAGATCAGGATCTTACAGAGCCTAAAAATTATAGGCCAATTTCATTATTAAATGTTGATTATAAGATTTTTACAAAAATTTTGGCAAACAGATTAATGCAGGTTATGAAGGATTTGATTCAAAATGACCAAGCAGGATTTATAACAGGGCAATATATGAAATATAACGTTAGACAAATTATAAATTTAATTGAATACTTGGATAAGAATAATCAGATTCCTGTGGCTTTTATCTTTTTGGATGCTGAAAAAGCCTTTGATCAATTAAATTGGAAATTTCTATTTTCATTGGTAGAGAAAATGAATTTTGAGGATAATTTTTTACATGCACTTAAAGCTATATATCAGCAACAATCCGCACAAATCGTTGTAAATGGGGGATTGACTGAGAATTTTAATATTGAAAAAGGGACAAGACAAGGATGCCCATTATCCCCATTGTTATTTGTTTTAACGTTGGAAATTTTATTGATTCAGATTCGAGAATCAAAGGTAGTTAAGGGCGTAAAGATAAGGAAGAATGAGTATAAATTGCGGGTTTTTGCGAATGATTTGGTCTTAATTTTGGAACAACCGAATCAAGCGATTGATTGTTTATTAGAACTTATAACACAGTATGGGAATGTTTCTGGTTTTAAAGTCAATAATTATAAGACTAAGATATTATCTAAGAATATGTTAGTTAAGGATAGAGAAAGTTTGGTCAAAGCCACAGGTTTTCAGATGGTAAAAAAGGTTAAATATTTGGGAGTATATTTAACCGCTTCAAATGGAAAATTGTATAAGAATAATTATGAACCATTATGGGGAAAAGTACAAAAGGACTTAAAAGACTGGAAAAAACTGCAATTGTCATTGTTGGGGAGAATTTCAGCTGTAAAAATGAATGTTCTACCAAAGTTCCTTTTT